GTAGACATAGAATTACAAGCCCGGTACCACCAGGTACCACATTGGATAAAGAGCAAAGCTCTAATGTTCTCTTAACTTAACAGCAAACCAGTCCAGTTACGGTGGCCCAGCCAGCCAGCAGCTGAGTGGTGGTTATGGAGGTGGCTACGGCGGCCAGAGCAGCATGAGTGGATATGGTAAGTTTGGTTTCTTTATATACCTAGAGTAAGTTTTAGGTTGGTTTTAGTTGGGGATATTACAGGCTCCTTTTTTAAAGAGAGTGGGTTATTAAATGGATATTTTTTATTATAATTCTTAATAGCGTAATTTGTAGAAACAGTTATTGGGAGGAGGGGAATGTTATGAGTTCTAGTCACTGCAATTTTGGAACACTGTCAAGCCAGAAATCAACTATGTTCATTTATTAAAACATTAGTTTGCTTTTCTGCTGTAGCATTAAATTTTTGATGGAGGGTAATATTTTTAAATATTAGTGGTGGTTGGGTTCAGGACAGTATTTTATTAGTCAGTTAACCTAGGGATGGTTTTATTTTTTTTCAATTGGTCTAAAGAATGGTGATTTTGGTATTATAGTCTTACCCTACAAAATCCTTTTGCAGACCAAGTTTTACAGGAAAACTCCAGTGATTTTCAATCAAACATTGCATAGGTAAATATTTTCTCAAAAAATATAATATAAATTCCCAATAGCAAATACTGATAATATTGTGATAACACTTTACATAGTAGTCAGTGACTCTGACTTGATTCCATGGAGGCTGCCATTTTGGGCACAGTGAGTTGCCTTTAGTCCAACTTTTGTCTTCTCACTTCTTGCCCACCATGAATAGGCAAAGCAAAAGACTTCCCCTGTGCTCCCTATTCATGCACACCATTCGATGGACACATAGTACATGTTTATGGTAAATTTTTTTTAGTGCTTTTTGTTTAGCTTTAAAAACTGGAAGTAATTTTGCAATTTTTGAAAAACACTAGTTTTCCTTTAAACTTAAAATTTCCACGTTGATCCTGAAGAATCCACTTAAAATGGTAGCACAAGAGTCTGGCAAGTTGGTACTGCAGAGAAAAGGGTTTAACTGAGATTTATTTGGAGTCGGGATTCCCTTTTCCTAAACATGCTCCTCGCCAATTGGACAGCAGCCATTTGCACTCGTATACCTTTTAAACTTTTTCTTGGAATGTTATTTTATTTAATTGATTATTTGACACCATTCCTAACTTGTCAAATGGATCTCTTTGCAGGTAGCCAAGGAGCAGTGAACAGCAGCTACTACAGTAGCGGAAGCCGTGCATCTATGGGCGTGAATGGAATGGGAGGGATGTCTAGCATGTCCAGTATGAGTGGTGGATGGGGAATGTAATTGATTTTGATCACTGACTCTTGGTCATTTTTTTTTTAAAAACTTCAGTTTAACAGTTTTGAAATCTAGCCTTGTGATTGATGCCTCCTCTTAAGTGAACATTGGCATCACTCAAAGGACCACAGTTCAATGTTGAACATAGTCACCTAGGATGATACAGTGAAGTTGAGTGAACTGTAACTGTTAAACAATTCCCAGCTTTTCTCTAGTTACTGTAGGATGTACGTAAGCAGTAAGCGTATTTAGGTTAAAGCAGTTGAATTATGTTAAATGTTGCTCTTATACATACATTACATTGAACACTGTTGGTGCATGTTAAAAAGACATGCTTTTTTGTAAAACTCAATATAGGAGCTGCGTCTACAATTAAAGTGAAACATTTGGCATGTTTGTTCTAATTTCATTTGATAAACCTGTAAGGCACGTGAGTTTAAAGCTCCCCCCCCCCCTTTTTTTAAGTTAATGGAGTAATTTTGACAAGCAATATCATTTACTTTAGGATTTTTGGTCTTGGTGTTTGTATGAAATTCTGAGGCCTTGATTTAAGTCTTTCATTGTATTGTGATTTCCTTTTAGGTGTATTGCGCTAAGTGAACCTTGTCAAATAAATCTTCCTTTTGAAAGCTACACATTTTCTTGTCTGTGCTTCGGTGTCATGTAGACTTTGTTGGTGTTTTGTTTTATTCCTGCCTGGGGTATAGGTCCATGTCTCTTATGACAAAAAGGCTGGGTGGCTGAGGCTGCTGTTTAGATGTCTTCAGACTTCCTTCCAGGGCCAAGTAAACTGAAAGTAAACCTGGCTGTTTGGTCTTAGTTTGATTGAGCCTGGCTGCACTGGATCTTGTCTGAACAGCCTATAACTTATTCCACTGAGTACAAGGCGCACAAGGACCAGTGCTCACTGTATGTCTTAATAGGCTTTCAGCCAGGTGGTGGCAGTGGTGGCACACGCCTTTAATCCCAGCATTTGGGAGGCTGAGCCAGGCAGATATCTGAGTTCAAGGCCAGTCTGGTCTGCAGAGTGAGATCCAGGACAGGCACCAAAGCTACACAGAAACCCTGTCTTGAAAAACCAAAACAAAGGGGAGGGGGCTTTCAGGCATGGCTGGAACAAGTGCCAGAGCAAGGGCACCGTGTCGTCCTCTAGGATATCCATAAATGTTTTCTTACTGGTTGGAGTTTTTCTTGAGATGGTCTCCAATCCTCAGGCTGGTCTCCAGCCTCCTGAATGCTGGTTATGTGTGTGCTGCATCCCTCCCCACTCAGGACCTTACACCTGGCTGAAGTGAAGGTCTACCACAGAGCTAGATAGATCCTTAGCCCTCAGATGCTTTTGGAATATACAAGGTGTGTCCAGCCACATCCACTTGGAAATAAGGTGCCATTAATAACATTGGCAGTTGTGGCTCATTCCTTTAACAGTGCTTGGGAGGTGGAGGCAGGTGGATCGTGTGTTTGGAGACCAGCCTGGTCTACAGAGCAAGTTCCAGGACAATTGGGGCTGATAAAGGGACAAGAGACAAAGCACTGAAAAAAAAAAGTTTCTCACTATCCCTGGCTATCATGGAACTAGCTTTTTAGACTATGCTGGCTTCAAACTCAAATCCTGCTCTGCCTCCCAAGTGCTGGGATTAAAAACTCGGTGGTGTCTTTAATCCCAGCACTCGGGAGGCAGAGGCAGGCAGATCTCTGAGTTTGAGGACAGCCTGGTGTACAGAGTGAGTTCCAGGAAAGGTGCAAAGCTACCCAGAGAAAACAAAAAAGAAAAAAAAAAAAAATAAAAAAAAAAAAAAAAAAAAAAAAAAAAAAAAAGCGCCACCACCACTCTGGGAGAAATCCTACCTTGGGAAAAAATAAAAAACCCCAACAACTTGGAGACAGGATCTTACTGTGTAGCTACGACTGGGAGAAGCAGAACCAATTCCTTTAAGTGTCCTCTGACCTCCCTCCATTTGCAAGATGGTATACTCATAGACAAGAAAAATGAACTTCAGTGATCCGGCATCGTAGCACATGCCCTCTAGTCCAAGCACTAGGAAAGCAGAGCAGAGGTAGGCAGATAGATACCTGTGGCCTTTGCACACAAATGTTACAAAATCTGTCTAGTCTGCCACGATCTGTCTCTACATTTATGCTCGAACAGCACTACTGTAGAGCACATGTTCCTCTGTTCAGGCTGGAAGGTTACGTATCAAACCAGTAACTGAAGCATTACCTAAACTTGGCAGCTAAATACTGGTGACTTGGGACCTGGAACCATTATGAATAATTTACTGAATATTGTGTTACTTGGTGGGTAGAGTTGAAGTTGGGAGGACAAGGGATGATGGAGGAAAAAAAAACCAAAACCCTGAACATGTGTGTGCCAGATGGTGGGACTTTTACTGAGCAGCAGCATGAAAATAGGTGTTACCTTGCTTCCTCTTTTGTGTGCAGATGAAAGATGTGACACTCAGAAGTGAAGTGCCTTGACTAATGTCCCCAGAAAGCTGGAGCCTAACTGGGTATACCAAAAAGGTACAGACTTCACTAGAACTGTTTGGGGGCAGTACAGTGGGATATGAACTTAGTGGGAAGTTGGTCCTGTTTGAGGTTAGGAAAGGGGCTCAGGCAGGGAAGGAGTAGACTCCGCTGGCCCTTTGCACTGCCTGCAGTTTAGAACAGGGTTGGAGCTGCTCAGGCCTGGTTTTAAATCCTGGCTGCACAGTCCTTGCTGTTGGACTTCAGGTAAATGGACGTTACAACACTTATTTCAGCCTTCAGAGTCTCAGGCCAGCAAGATGACTCATTAAGAAAAGGTGTTTGCTGCCAAGGCTAGTCACCCGAGTTTGATCCCTGGAAGTCACATGGCGGAGAGAACTCATTCTAGGAAGCTGCCATCTAACCTTGCACTCTGGTACTTGTCTGCCTCCGTCCCATGCTTGCCCAACCAAGTCTGAGGCCATTGGCCTGAGTGGGATGGGTATGTGAACTTGCACTTGGGTGGGACCCTGAGAAGATGGCACAGTCTGCATGGCCACAGACATCTGTGCTAGCACAAGTCCCATGTAGCTAGATGGTTCTGATGTGTGGCTCAGCTCTGCCATGGTGTAGAAGTACTTGCATACCCAGTTTTCAGGAAATTAGTGAGATAATCCAACACCTATAAAACAGGCTTTGTATGTTTTGCTGGATATGGTGGCACATGCTTATAATTCCAGTACTTGGGAGGTAGAGGCAAAGGGATCAGTTCAAGGCCAGCCTTGGCTGCATTTGAATTTGAGACCAGGCCAGGCTATTTGAGACTTGTCTCAAAACAAAAAGGAGCTGTGTTGGCTGAGTCTGCCTATTTGCAAGCTCAATGTCCTAAGCACTTTCAAGGCTTGCTAAGTGAGGTGTACAGTGGCCATTCTTGGCTCATTCCTACATGATCGCAATGAGGATGTAACCCCACTGCAAGTCAGGCATCTGGGAAAATAGGCATTTGGACTTTGGTGACAGGCTTGAGGGAGGTCCTTTACCCTGGCCTTGGTCCACCTGGGTGGAGCAGCCTGAATCCAGCAACACAACAGCCGAAGAGCTCAAACCCGGCAGGCCCTTCTCCCCAGGCCTCGCAGCGCCCTCCACAGGCAAGCTGGAGGCCAGCACTTTGTACAAGAGTGAAAAATAAAGGATTTTATTGCAGGGCCAATGATAGGTGTTGACAGGGGCATGATGGCAAATGGTGGGTGTGGAAGCAGACAAGGCACACTGACAGACCCATGAGTCCAAAGCACTGCAGAAATGGAGGTTTCTATGGGATGTGGGTAGGAGAGATGATGCTGTACCAGTGCGACTGCTGCAGGACAGGTTAGTCCTTTGAAAAGTGGAAGTGACAGTAGCAAAGTCATGAGGTTCCACCTGTCCCAGAGCCAGGACATAACCGAGGACACAGACGTGTCGGACCGGAGGAGCTGGCTCCACACGAACCGTGGACAAATGCTCAGCTGCCGCCGGCGCTGTCGTCAGAGGCTGACAGCCTGGTGAGGGCTTCATTCTCTCCTGTGATTCTCTTGGGCCCTGGCAGGTCTCTGGAGACGCAGAGTTTGGCACTGTACCTGAGGCTTTCCTCCACTCGGAGGGTGGAGGTCAGCAGGTTAAGGTCCCTGCTGGTGGCTGCCGGCCTCAGGAGGCCGTGGAGGAGCAGCGCTGCAGGAGCAGGGTGTGGCAGCTGTCACACACACGCACCGGCTTCGGGTAGGAGGGCAGGGCCAGCTCGTTGCTGGAGCACGTGTTGCAGAAAATGTGGCCACAGTTTCGGCAGTGGTGCTGGAAGACAGGAAAAAGGCCGTCAAGACAACGGGGGAGACGCAACCCCACACCTACTGTGCTTTGTAAAGCCTGGCTTCTCTAACGGCCATGTCTTAGACTCAACATGCTCTCAGCCAGCCTCTCCTGACTGGGGCAGACAGCGGTGGTTTATAAACGGGCCAAGAATCTGGTACTTACTGGAGTTAGGTTTTTTGTTTTTGTTTTCCAGAGCTGAGGACCGAACCCAGGGCCTTGTGCTTGCTAGGCAAGTGCTCTACCACTGAGCTAAATCCCCAACTCGCCCCCCCCCCCCCCCGCCCTTTTTTTTTGGTGGGGAGATAAGGTCTCACTATGTGTCCCCTGGCTGGCATGAAACTTGCTTCTGTCCCTGTTTCCTGACAGTGGGGATTAAAGACATCATCACCACACCTGGCAGTGTTGGGTTCTTTGGGCATGTGATGGACGCCAAGCTCAGCCTGGATAGCCTCTGCTCCTGGCTCTATAGACAATTAGGCTGGACTGCACAAGACTGTTCATGGCGGGATGGCCAGACTGCTGCCTCAGCCTTCAGCAAGTCTTGACAAATGGGAGGTCATTTCCTATTCTGAACTGAACTTAGTTTGGCACTTTGGCTTCTCTTTCCCACAGATGAAAGCTATGGACGGGAGTGGAGAGGTGGTGAGCCCACAGCCGTGGATAGGCTGGGAGGGTAAACCTCCCTGTGTAGTGATGATCCCTAAGTGCCCAGGATTATGCACTTTTCCAAGTCCATTCTCTGTCCAGTTGGTCTTTGATGAGACACTTCAAGTTCCCACTACCATGGACCAAAAAGGCACCCAGGACTTTCTGTTACTAGAGCCTTGCAGCAGGCTACATGGGTAGACACAGGCCCAGTTCACCCAGTGAGGTTCTTTTGACCCGACACCTTTCAGCTTCCTATGGTGGTTTGCCTGAGTCAGTCAGGTAACTAACCGGTCCTGCTGCACACAGAGGGCTGCCAGGGTACACCTGCCTCGGCAGCGCCACCGAGAAGCCACTCTGCTCCAAGCAAGTCGGTCATTAGAGGACGTGGGGCCAGGGCCTCCAGCCGACGAACAGGCATAGCTGCAGTGCAGAGACAGGCTTTTCGGAAGCGGGAGGAGAATCTGGGGCGGAAGTGGCCGCTACATACCTTTCTCCGGGAAATGGAGAACTCCTTCTCACACTGCTTACAGTGGGTTGCTTCATCATCTTTCAACCATGTGTGGCCCTGAGGAAGAAAACAGACCTGAGAACTTCACCTCCGATCAGCCCCTGGTGGCTGCATCTACTGTCTTGTGACTTTCCCTATTTTTCTTGGGAGGCCTTGCTGTTTCACCAGATGTAGCCGCAGAGGAATGATGGAGTCTTTCCGTCACACTGGCGGCAGGTGGCATTCACAAATCCTAACGAAGCGCCTGCTCTCAGCATCCTGGCCGAGATCACGGCTGATCCACTCCCCTGCCCCTTTAAGAAGTCCTCTCTACCTGAGGTCACTTCAGTCACAGTGGTGCCTGCAACCCCAGGCCCAGCCTGAGACATGATCCCATGACTAGCTAAACTGGCAGGAGGGAAGGCTAGCCAGATCCAAGCTAGGCTCAAACAGGTGATGTGGACCTCTACAGAGAGACAACGTGTAGGGGAGGAACGCCTTCGGGCTCAGTGAATGAAGCTCTTCTGCCCAGCCAGCCCTGCATCCTCAGTGCCTCTGGGAAATAGCTTGCTGCCTTACCTAAGAGAAAGGGAGGCTCTGGAAAAGGGTGTTTTGCAAGTTTTTACCAGGGAAAAACTGATCTGGGAAGTATCATTCCTTAGGAATTCTGTATGTGATCAAAGGGGTCAAGGGCCCCTTGCCACATGCCTCACTGTGCCAGAGAAGCAGGCCGCTGGGGCCCTCTGGAGCTGTCCGCTGCCACCGTCATACGAATACTGCATGGCAAGACACAGGCCCGCAGCTCATAACAGTTATAATCAAGGGCCTTCATTTAAAGAGCAGGAGCAGCTGGGGATCCATACACCTGCTGGGCTGGCGGGGGCTGCACAGCCTGGCCTCCCGCTGTGAAGGGGCCTCCTTCTGCCTTGCAGCTTCTTTCTGCTCTGCTGTGGCAACCGGGCGGCGAGGCAGGCCTCTCTTCCCGGCCCCCTGTGTGTGTGCAGGACAGAGCTCCACCGTCTGCTACCTTCTCGAGCACACAGCAGGTCAGAGACAGCCACTGGGCACAGTGCCTACCAAGAGCTGGGGCTTAGAGAAACCTCCAGCTCATGCCTGTCCACCTGCGGCCATCTCAGACAGGCCTGTGGTACTGTGTTGTCACCACTGTGGGGGAGACAGTAAGCAGTCTTTATTTTATTTTTCGACAGTGTAACCCTGGCTGGCCTGGAGCTCGCTATGTAGACTAGGCAGGCTGGCCCTGAATCCAGAGATGGAGGGCTTTTGCCTCTGGAGTACCAGAATAGAGGTGTGCTCCACCGCGATCAGTGTAAGTGACTTTGCTCATATAAGTAACTTGGATACCTTCAGTGCCTTGTTTACTTCCTTTATGTCTTCCATCTTTAGTTTGGACCTGTAAAGAAAAAAGACAACTGTTTTAGCAGGACAGATTGCGGCACAGCTAAAGTAGTGACTACGGCTGTGTGTGGAACACTGGAGTAGGAAGAGGGCAAAACAGGGTTTCTCGGTGTAACAGTCCTGGCTGTCCGGAACTGGCTCTGTAGATCAGGCTAGCCTGGAATCACAGAGATCCACCTGCCTCCCAAGTGCTAGGGTTACAGGTGTGTACCACCACTGCTGGGTAAAACATGGGTTCTTTTCAAGTGCTTCCCATTTTTGTGTGACCTGAGGTTGTCTATTCACGTCCCAGCTCATGTGTCTGGTAACCTGGGACCATGTGGCTTAAGAGCAGACTTGCAAGCCCACGAGGGTCAAAAAGGACGGAAGTGGCTGCCCTTATGAGTGTGGAATGAGACGGGCGTGATGGCGCACACCTTTAATCCTAGCACTCAGGAGGCAGAGGCAGGCTGATCTCTGTGATTCCAGGCCAGCCTGGTCTACAAAGTGAGTTCCAGGCCAGCCAGGGCTACAAAGAGGAACCCTGTATCAATAAACAAACAAACAAGAAGGCTGGCGAATGAGCTCTGGATGTCTAGCTCTGGCTTCTCTGGGTAGCTGTCCCTGCATTTAATGTACTTGTGTAAGGCCAGGGAGTCCTGGCCTAGCTGCCACTCTCGGTAGAGACCTCAATCTCCCAGGCTTCTTGGAGGTTGTTCAGCCCACTGCACGTCCAGAAGGGGCAGGCTGGGAGGTTCCACTAACTCTCCATCCTTTAATGGATGAACAATTCCTTCACATAAAGATAGATTTGAACAAGGTTTAGGTTGGTAGAACTGCATCTGCAAAAATGATAGAAACACTACGCCTTTAATCTCAGCACTCGGGGAGGGAGAGGCAGGTGGATCTCTGTGAGTTCAGGGCCAGCCTGGTTTACAGAGCAAGTTCCAGGACAGCCAGGGCAATACAGAGAAGCCCTGTCTCCAAAAAACAAAAACAAAACAAAATGAAACTCTACATGCTGGTGATCTAGGGAAACCTTTTGGACTTTTTTGTGTGTGTATGTGTGGTGTGTATGTATGTGCACATGCTTGTTCACATATGTCATATGGGTACAAATGCATGTGTAGAGGCCAGAGGAAGATGTTGGTATCTTCCTTGATCACTCTTCTACTTTCCTTAGCCGGAGCTCCCAGACTTGGCTAGTAGAGCCAGCCACCTCACCCGGGGGATCTTTGTCTACTGAGTGTTGGGATTACAGGTGGATCACCACACTGGATGGCTTTTTTATGTAGCTGCCGGGGATCCAAGCTCCAGTACCCATGCTTGTATGGCAAGTATGCTTCATCCAATGAGGCACCTTCCCAGTCCCAGGAGTAGTTCAAGCTGGCCTCAGCTTGGTGATCCTCCTGCCTCCACCTCTTTAGTATTTCCTATTGGTATGTGCTACCACGACTGGCAAAGGCCTTTTAGGTCCGCCCCACCCCAGGCTCAGAGGTGCCCTGCAGGCTGATGCAGGGACACGTGACAGCAGCCCTGGGGCCAGAGCCCTTTCTTATTTCTATCTTTTACTTACGCTTTTGAGACAGGGTCTCAGGTTCCAGGCTGGCCTGGAGCTTGATATGAACATTAGGCTAGCCTCAAACTCAGAGAGACCTATCAGCTTCTACCTCCCAAAATGCTGGGAATAACAGTGTCTACCACCATGCCTGGCAACAGCTCTTGCCCCCTTTTTGGGACAGGGTCTGACTATGGTCCTGTATTAGAACTCATTATGTAGAGCAGGTTGGCTTTGAACTCACAGAGATCTGCCTGCCTCTGCCTCCTGAGTGCTGGGATTAAAGGTGTGTACTATCACACCTGGGGCCTTAAAAGCTGGTTAGTCTAAATGTCTTAGATTTCTAGGTGTCAAGTGGTTTCTGAGAGACAGGTGAATTAAGCCAGAGCTTACAAAACAGCATCAGAACACTCAAAACCACCATGGCCTTCATTAGTGACTAGCAGGTAGCCCCTCTCTAGTCCAGCTGTAGAAAAAGGCCAGCAGACGGGCTGGACCAGAGGCTGTCCCATGGACAGACCTTGGGAGACCAGGTCAAGATGGTAGCCTGTCCACACAGACCTCTAGGAAACAACTTGGGGAGTGTCTACAAGTCCCCAAGATACAGAAACTGCAAATGTTCCTATAGCTGAGAATAAAGCATTTGCTCCTTAGAAAACAGCACCAGAACATTCAGAAGACCACGGTGGCCTTCATTAGTGACCAGCAGACAGCCCCTTCCCTGTCCAGCTGCAGAAAAAGTTTAGCCGACTTACTGGACCAGAGGCTGTGCCAGCATGGGCTTGCAGGGAGGGAAGACGGGGGAATGTGGCTACTTGGGCCATCCTGTCTGGGTTGTATGTACACCTAACTCTGCTACAGCCACACGGCTTGGCTCTGAGAGACACGGTGACTGAGTATCTCCAGATAGGATTCCAAAGCTAGATCAGGTGGTAGCACTGAGACATGCCCAAAGTCAGAAAATCACTGACATCTTTGAGGACCATTGGGTCTGACTCTGCTTTGTGTCCATCTAGTGTGGGGACAGGAAGAAGAGAGTCCCAGGTATAAACCCAAGTAGTCCCCTCCAGCCAGCTCCACATCTGCTTCTGGAGAGTGCTCCTGGGCTGCCCAAGGAGTTGACCCGTGCTTGGCATGGGGACAGACACTTGGCCTTGTGTTTGCTCAGGGAGAGTAGGCTGGGGTGGGGAAAAGGGCAGAACACACCAAGTACCGGGTCAGGAGAAAGCAGTGTGGGGCATGCGAGAGGGTTAGGGGTCAGAGCGGTATATTGCCCAACAGTAGCCCTGTGTATCTCCAGAAAGATGCTGGGAGAGAACAGAGAATGAGCAGCCTTTGTTTGCACTTGAAAGAGGCCAAAGCCAGAACATTCATTCTCCTTTCTTAGTAACAGGAGACCTTCTATCAGCCATGGTGGTGCATGCTCTAATCCTGGTATGGAGGCTGCAGAAGGCCAAGTTCAAGGCTAGCCTGAGATACATCGTAAGATTGTCTTAAAACAATCTTTGGTATTACACTCGTACAGCAAAGTAGGAGACCTTGGGGCTGGAGATACTCAGTAGTTAAGAGCACTCACTGCTGCTCTAGGGGACTTGAGTTCAGCTGCCAGCATCCACGTCAGGTGGCTCATAACTGCCTGTAACTCCAGCTCCAGGAAACCCAATGCCTTTGGCCTCTGAGGGCATCAGCACTTATGTGAATATACCACCTCACCACTCAAAAATAATAAAAATAAACTATTTAAAAAACAAAATAGGAGACCTTCCAACTTTCCAGACAAAACAAAAGGTTATGTACATTCTCATACTTCTTGAATTTTTCTAGCTTTCTCTCGTTTGGTTCCCATCTCTAAACCTCTTCTGGCTACATGCATCCTTGCAGTTAAAGGTCACAACTCTCCAGTGCTCTGGTCATGGGTGGAGCAAGAGGAACTTTTCTCTGCTAGCCCTGCCAGGTGCCAGATGCACTAGTGTCTGGTCACAGGAGAAAATAATCCTCAAGGGACCAGGGGTCACACAGCTGCCTCCTACGGCCTGGCTTCCTGAGGTCACCGAGGAACAGCTGCGAGGCTTCCTGGCTCGCTCTTCCAGCACCAGGCCTGGAAGGTGCACAGATCTAGCCTTGCATGGGGGGGGCTCTTACTGGCTGAGATGCAGTCCCATCTCCTGGAGGGCTTGCTCCTGCTCCTCACAGACCTTCCGTAACTCCGCCTTCTCATCTTGGAGCTCCCGTAGCTCCTGAAATAGACAAGCCACATGTCACACACAACTACATTTTCCTTTTTTAAATGTTTAGTAACCAGTGTGGTCAGGAGATCAGAATGTCTTGCAGAAGCAAAGAATAGTTTTGTTGTGTGAATATCAGCCAAGAGAGGGTTCTCTTGTGGATAACTTCATACCCGCTATGGGCAGATGATACAGTGGGACCCTCTCAAACAACAACTACAAGTGGTTCTAAGATGGATCCAAGGATACAGGACAGGGAGAGATACATTCAGGTCAGTTAAGAAGAGTTACCTGGGTTGGGCATGTTGGCCAACACTTTTAATCCCAGCACTCAGGAGGCAGAGGCAGGTGGATCTCTGAGTTCGAGGCCAGTCTAGTCTACAGAGTGAGTTCCAAGACAGCCAGGGTCACACAGAGAAACCTTGTCTCTAAAACCCAAAACCCAAACAGGGGGGCAGTTGCGCTGCACTTGCTGTTCCTGGTGGCATATACTTCACGCCTTAAACCCCAGTATTCGGGACACAGAAGCAGGTGGATCTCTGTGAGATCCAGGCCAGTCTGGTCTACATGGTGAGACCCTGTCCATATAGTCCCTGTCTTAAAAACACAAAAACAGTTACTCCAACGGACAAGTAAAGCTTTGCTTGTCCACTAAAGGCTGGGTCTTAAACGCACAGTTATCTGGGCTGGATATAGTAAGGCGTTGTGTGATCTTAGTTCCTGGAGGTGAAGACAGCAGTAGGAGCTCAATGTGCTCCTCGACTACATACTGAGTTCAAGATCAGCCTGGGCTACAAGAGACCCTATCACAAAACAAAACACAAGTTACTCCCCTTCCATAACATCCTTCAAAAGTGGCTTTAAATTTTTTTTTTACACTTACTTCTTTGTGTGTCTGCATGTGCGTGCATGGGTAAGGGCACACATACGGGGAGGTCAGAGGGTCGCCTTCAGGAGTCTGTTCTCCCCTTTTACCCTGAGCACTGCAGGGATCGAACCTAGGTGGGCAGGCTTAGAGGCAAGCTCCTTTGTCTGCTTAGCCATCCCATGGGCTCTAAAGTCTATTTCAGTCTATTGAATTAATTAATTAATTTAGGTTTTTCAGTGTAGTCCTGGCTGTTCTGGTTCCTTGAACTCTGCTTCCCAAGTGCTGGGATTAAAGGTGTGTGCCACCACCGCCCTGCTCTAAAGTCTATTTTAAAATACCTTGGGAGAAAAAGAAAAAAAAAGTCTCTGGGTATGGGAGATGGCTCAGTGGGTTAAGATACTTTCCACCAAGTCTGACAACTTGATTTGACTTCTAAATCCACAGAGTGGAAGGAGAAAACTGATACCTGTAAGCTGTCCTCTAACTTCCACACGTGCATATGCAGGCACACACACACACACACACACACACACACACACACACACACACACACACAAAATAAATACATTTAATAAAATACTTCTAAACTTCAACTGCTAATCCCAGCACTAGGGAGGCAGAGCCAGGCGAATCTCTGTGAGTTCGAGGCCAGCCTGGGCTACAGAGTGAGTTCTAGGAAAGGCTCCAAAGTGACACAGAGAAACCCTGTCTTGAAAAACCAAAAAAAACCAAACCAAACCAAACCAAAACAAAAAAACAAAAACCAAACCAACAACAACAACAAAAAAAAAAAACCCTCCAACTACTTTGTACTGGTTGGTCCTGGAATTCTTTTCTTCACCAAACCCTGGATTTGTCAAGGTCAAGGTCTCTAAAAGATGAAAGGGCTGGGCATGGTGACATACCCCTTTAATCCCAGCATCTGGGAGGCAGAGGCAGGCGGATCTCTGTGAGTTCAAGGTTGGTCTGCTCTCTCTATATATAAAGTTTCTGGCCAGCCAGAGCAACACAGAAAGACCCTGTCTCAAAACCCCCAGGCTGCTGTGAGTGACAGTGAGGAACTGTGTCTCTGCCCCCTTCCCTGATGGCGTCACTGAAGATATGTCTTTGCCAAGGCATCTTCTGATTGGTTTAATAAAGAGCTGAATGGCCAATAGCTAGGCAGGACTTCCGGGGACAGAGAGAACTCTGGGAAGAAGACAGGCTGAGTCGCCAGCCAGACACAGGGAGGAAACAGGAGGTGTGGGATGGAAGAGGGGCAATGAAATTGGCAGAGTGTAGATGAATAGAAATGGGTTAATTTAAGTTATAAGAGCTAGTTGGGACAAGCCTAAGCTAAAGGCCAAGCTTTCATAATTAATAATAAGTTTCTGTGTCATTATTTGTGAGCTGGCAGCCAACGAAAAAGCTTGCTATGGTGTGTAGAATTCAAATGCAGGCTGAAGTATCTTGAGGGGGGTATGTTCCGTGACAGAGGCACTTCCTGGGTCCTTTCAGGTCCAGTGTCCTCCCCTCCCCTCTGAGCCTGGCCTGGCTCCTGCGCCCCGTCCTTCCCTTGAAGCTCTTCCCAACAGCAGGGCAGGGCCTCTGGGCCCACGCTGCACGGCGGCACCCACTTCTACTCTACAGCTGCCTGGTCCACCAGGCTGTGCGGAGGGGAGCGCACATTTGGCTTTGCTGCCCTGGGGTCAGCAGGTCTGGGAGCCTGATGTTAGGGTGCATGGGGGTATCCAGGAAATCAGTCCAGCATACTGCTGTCACTGAGAGAGCATACTGCTTCCCTGAGAGAGCTGCTTCTACAAGAACGTCACCAGGGCAACACCCACTTGCTCACAGGATCCAGGCCATTCTGAAAGTGACACTGGGGACCCCAGAGAACTGAAGTGATGTCAGAAGGAAATGGAGCATGGGATGATTATAGGGTCTGGATCTGCCTGTCTCCTGGGATGACTTGAGCTTTGGGAAGAATGGCCAGCCAACCTCTGGGGAGAAGTCACGTACATGGGCTTTTGCTGAAAATGTTGACTGGTTCCTCACAGTTTCCCAGACAGGAGGCCAGCACCAGCTCGCCACAGTAGCTGGTTTTAAGACCACCTGTAGGGGGCACCCCCTACCCCCACTCCCACCCCGGTACACGGATGGCTGGCCGGCTCTCTCCTAGGCCTCTGCTTCTCTATCTGCTCTTTCCAGCTCCTCTCTGGCCCATGTGGCTGACTCCATGGCTTACCCTCGCCTCTGCCATCTCCTCTTAGGATGGATGCCCTGTGCACAGGGCGGGAACAGTGCTCCAGACCCGGCTCCCACACAGAGGCACTGGAGAGCCTGGCCTTGGCAGCGGGTTCTGGAGAAGACGCAGAGCTTTCCCACCGGCGGCCATCTTACCTTCTTCAGTCCTTCCACTTGCTGTAGCTCTGTCTGGAGCAGACAGGAGGTGTCTTTCTCACGCTGTAACTCTCTCTGGAGAGCTTGCCTCTGTTCTTTTTCTGATTTCAGTTCTTTCTCTAGACCTGAGCTGTTGTTTGTCCAAGAGTGAACTAGAGTTAGTTGCAGTGGGAGATTTCCATGGAAGACCCACCATCTACCACACAAGATAGGGGGAACCATCTGAATGGCCGCATGGACATCAAAACCCTGACATGGAGTGAAACCAGGCCTCCTCCTGTAGGGTCGCCCATACCCCCAAAAGATTAGGGGCTGCCAGGTACACACTTGGCTGTTTATACCAATGAGTGGAAAACACTGAGGACTACAAGGACCATAGCGCGGCAACAAAGTTCAGTATCCGCCTGGCTTCTTACAGCCCACATTCAGTAGACAGGAGGCTCCCAAGGAGGGGGGGGATAGAGTGACCAGGGTCAGGGGTGAGCTTGGCTGGATCTGACTCATCTTTCACCAGCTGAGGAGGCTGGGGACACAGCTGGCCCCGGGAGGCTGCCTGCTCAGTTCTCGTCTGTGAAGCAGCGTACACACTCTCATGCGGACCGGCCTTGCAGGGGTGAACTCAGGTGGGAGACTGCCTATCTCCTCCTCTTTCTTCTTGGAGACAAGAAGAAAGGCAGGAAGCCACTCCCTAGTCCTCTCAGCTGACCTCTCACAGGCGCCCCGGCTCCTTACCATTGGTCGCGCAGCTGGGCCAGCTGGAGCTGCAGGGCGCTGACCCTTCCGCTGAGCTCCTGCTGGACTTTGTGGCTCCGCTCCTCCGCCCCCTGTCTGGCCCTTTCCGCCTGCTGTAACCTGGAGGCAACGCCAAGCAGACACATTCGGTCTTTGTAAGGAACGGCTCACACCTCTCAGACTGAAAAACTTTTGGCTTGAGCTGCTTGTCTCCTCCCTCCCTCCCTCCCTCCCTCCCTCCCTCCTTTTTTTTGTTTTTTGTTTTTTTTTTTTGAGAAAGGGTCTTGCTCTGTAGCTTAGGCTGCAGAACTTGCTACCTAGTTCAGACTGGTTTCAAAATCATGATCTTCCTACCACAGCTACAGTGTGTACCACACACAGGTGTACACCTCCACAAATATGTACCACACACAGGTGTACACCTCCACAAATATGTACCACACACAGGTGTACACCTCCATGAATAGCCTGTCACCTGAACGGGAATTTACACGGTGGATGCTGCTCCATCTTTTCTTTCCTTCCTTCCTTCCTTCCTTCCTTCCTTCCTTCCTTCCTTCCTTCCTTCCTTCCTTCCTTCCTTCCTTCCTCCCTCCCTCCCTCCCTCCCTCCC